TGGGCTGGTCATATTATAATGAAGAATTTAGTTTCACAGTGAACTTAGCTTTGGAGCTGTGGAAATATTTACTGATTCATGTCTCTCACTTGCTGAAAATATCTCTTTTGCATTTGTTACTACAGATGTAAGATAATTTGTGCTTCGTCAATAGCTCCCATTATCACTTAATAAATCCATTTTTGTTTGTAAAAGAAAGTGCACTTTATTTTTTGAATTTATCTGGATTAGGTAAAATTTTCTCTTCATGGATTAGAATATGGATGGAAAATTGCAAATGGATGATATGGTCTTTGCTGAAATCAGCTTTATCAAGTGGTCTCTTGTTATTAGATGTTGAATTTGCTTTGAAACACTTCATCTCCTTTCACATTAATGGATCATCTTGCTCCTTGATTTTATGAACTATGTTTGATGCAATTTTACTAAAGTGAAGTTGGTATTAGTTTCTAGAGACAATTGAGAGGAATGAAATTCGTAGCTTGATATGGGTGAATCGTTATGAGATTCAAAACATTGATTGATATCTTTTGTCATAGGATTAAAACTTCTGCATAATTAGAAGAATAACTAGTTCAGCTGCCAATTATTTTTGAATTCATCATCAATTATATTAGATTTTGCATGTGAATGTTTCAATTTATTAACCAGTTTCCTTAGCGTGATGCTTTATTTGTTTACACTCCAAGAATAATGTCGTGGAGGTATGGACTTAAATAAAAATCAAATAGTTGTCAAATACACTTCAATGAAGTTCTGAGGTCCTCAAAGCATTTTTCATGTTAATTGTCAACCATTTATAATTGCCCAAGCATACCCGAAATCCCTTTTGGGAGTGTTGTAACCTCTCTTATGATTCTATATTACAGTTATATATATTTATCTATTTTTTATTTTATGCCATTATTAGAACCTTTTTATTTGTGATAAACTAGTATACACTTGATGTCCCACAAGTTTAAAAGAACATTTTTTTAATCTTTAGACAACACTCTTGATGTTCTTGCCTCTGAGCATCCATGCTGTCAGTTATTCACAATGCTTTTGTGGTGGCAATTTCTTCCACAGGACAAAAGGAAAACCATATTGATATAACGAGTTAAATGATTACACTTCTACATGAGCAGCCTATATATTGTAGAATGTGTATTTATAGATGAAATTGTGCATTCATTATCAAGTTATTGCTTATTATTATTTTTTGTGTATTCTGATGGTGTTCTGAATTACTCATTATTAATTTTGGCTTCATTACATGGATATAGCCTTCAGTCAAAATGGATGAGCTATGATCCCATAATTTTTTTTGTTAATTATCATAAATGAGAATTAAGACATTTTTGTCTAACTATATTATTTTGTCATGATTTATATATTTGATGGATTTACTTTATATTTCTTTTTTGGTTTAGTTAGCAAATATCTTGGGGAGTTTCCAGTGGCTAACATGTCCAAGAAAGGTATTATAGTTTAATTTAACACATCTCAAAAATAATACAGTTCAGTAATTCAAATATGTGCTATTGAAGGATCTCAATTGTGTATATATTTCTTCGGTTATTTGAACTATGTATTCACTTATAGGATCTGTCTACTGGATGGCTTCACTGTGATCCCGGTCCACTGTTCAAGCCAAAAAGTTACCCTTTACCTGGATGGGTATGCACTAATTAGACAAATAAGTTTATTTTTTGCGTTCAACTGTCTGCTGGAGGAATAGTTAATTGAAATGGTGTCTGTAGCACAATTTTCATTTTATTAGTAAAAAAGGTCATGCCAAAGCATGTTACCTCATGATTAAGAAATATTTGGTCACAGCTGAAACCTTAATCAGTCAATGGCCATTCCTACATAACTTGTCTTTCTCACTATGTTGCTTTATTTGAAAATATCTGATTCACAGGATGCAAATTGTAAAAAGCTTATGAAGTAGTTGACAACAGATAATGCATGTTCTTCTTTTCATTTTCCCCAGTTCTCATGGAAAGAATTTTCAGTTATGCCTGTTCAGTGGCATGCTTTAGCGCTTGGACTATTTGCATCAATCATAGCACCTTTTGGGGGTTTTTTCGCAAGTGGTCTGAAACGAGCTTTCAAGATTAAGGTTCTTCCTCACTCTATATGCTTATTACTTGGATAAGTAGTATAGCACAACATAATTACATTTCTATTCTTTATGTAGGATTTTGGTGACACTATTCCTGGACATGGTGGGTTTACTGATAGAATGGATTGCCAGGTATGTTGCTAAACACACTAGTATTAAATATGCATGTTCTTATTTTGTGATGCATATGAACTTTACCAATCAGAGATTTTGACAGCAAAGACTGTCGTAGTATTTCTTATACAATGAAACAATCTGTTTGTCTGTAATTCATGGATGATCTTGCTTACCAGATATAACAGTGATTTTTTAAGATAGGTGACTGCATCATTTCCAGTTTGCCCTCATGATAAAAATTATGAATCAGGCAATGCTATCTGGAAAGTTGAAGGTGCAATCAAGTAATTAAAATATCTAAAATTTAAAATCTGTTGTGCCTGAAAATAAAAGTGCAATGTAGTTGCCCTTGGATAACTAAACCTGAAATAGTTCTTTTCAACTTTGATGCCATTTAGAGATTAGGAGTTCTAGTTTTCCGTAATGAGTTTAAGAAAATTAGTTTTCCTTGGAACATAGATATCATACTTTGTTAACAAGGAGAGAAGACACCAACATTAGCTTCATTGATATAATATGGATGATTTTTGTTTCATGAACTAACAAAGCCTTCCATAAGCCACAATTTTTAGATACGCTAGTTAATTAGTATCTTCTCTCCTGTTACGAGTGTTTTGCACTTCAAACATTTTTGGAGGAAACATAGATATCGTACCAGTGACAATGTCACATCACAATTGTCAGATACACTAATTTGAATCTTATAACAAAAAAATGAGTATCTTTCTGCAATCATTGTTACCTACTACTTTGATGCTTTAAAGATCCTGTTTTCTTTGTATCAGATGATGATGGCTGTGTTTGCATACATCTACCATCAATCGTTTGTGGTGTCTCAGGGTTTTCCAGTAGAGATGATTCTTGACCAGGTATTGCTTCTTCTCTCTAATACCCTTAGGTGGTTGTGTTCATCTCATGGATGACAAACTTATGCACTTTGAATCAGATATTAAACCACCTGACTGATGAAGAGCAGCATGATCTACACTTTCTGCTAGGGAGGATTCTCCATGAGAGGCAATTAGAACAACAGTGAAATCAGGCTTAATCGTGGTTTGTCTGGTCGAGAGTTTGTACTTCCCGGTTCGCTTTCAAAACATGGAATTGAGATATGGCCTGTTCTTTTCTAAACCATAAATATGTGGAATGGAGGGGCTTTTTCTGTTTTATTTTGAGTTTCTGTTTTGTTATATTTCGTTGTTTCAATATTGGTCCCTTTGTAGTTGTCCTATGATGGATGGATGGTGTGGGAAAATCTCGGAGAGCTTTTCCAGTAAATGATGACTTCCTTTGTAGTTGTCTTGTATGGTTTTTCTTCCTCTTAATCGTATTGGAAGTTCTAATCCGATTTACAATAAGTGTCTTAATGGTATTTTACACAGCACTCCTTTGCTAAGAAGGTACACTACTTGTTTTCCTACTTCGACGAGCAGAGCAACTGAAAGAGTAGGTCTAAGGTGGTGGTGAGTAACAAAAACACTCCTATTCACCGCATGCATGCATGCAAAACTTTGCATCCCTGCTTCCAATGCATTGCATCGCCATGAGTTTGCATGCATGCATGCATGCATGCAAAACTTTGCATCCCTGCTTCCAATGCATTGCATCGCCATGAGTTTGCATGCATGCATCCCTGCTTCCAATGCATTGCATTGCCATGAGTGAGTGCTATCACCCACCAACATTGCCGGATGCTGCTCAGGAAACATTCTTTCATTGCCGGAATACCTCAGTAGATCCCCTCCTCGCTTGGCAACACGGGCTGTGGAGCGACAGCACTGGTATCAACTCTTATAAATCGTTGCAATTCTTAATATTTAATTCTACCGCGGTTGGATTAGGCCATCGGTCACCGTGGATGAGCTTCGACCATCGATATTGTGTTCAGTAACACTCAAATCCACGCTACACCAGGAAAAGCAAGGCAAACAAAGGTAAAACCAATACGACCAACATTGCCCTCTCTCAGAGAAACCTTACTTATTACCAAGTAGACATACGTGTTGAGAATCCCATTCACATTCCCATCACACGCTGCATGAGACATAGCACAACGGATAGACCCACTAGATGATGAAGGCACTAACAGCATGGACACACAATTCACGAACACCACGACACGGGAAGGCAACAAACGACGGCATCAGGCAGAGTTCACTGCCCGCCACGGAGGCGGAGCACTAGGTGGAGAGTCGACTCCTTCTGTATGTTGTAGTCCGCAAGCGTACGGCCGTCCTCCAGCTGTTTCCCGGCGAAGATTAGCCTTTGCTGGTCCGGCGGGATCCCCTCCTTGTCTTGAATCTTTGCTTTCACGTTGT